AAGTTAAATGTCAGGCAATAAAAGAAATAAAGCCAATTCATCTGAACCACTTGACTTATACATGATGCGAACTTTATTATGAAAGCGAAGGAAGAGCCGTAGCTCTATAGTTTGTTAAATTCAGAAAAATATGGCATCCATTTAAAAAGTTTGCTAAGAAGAGTGCTTAAATCATTTTTTAGCGGCTTAAATTGGAGTAGAGTTCGAAAGTAAGGGTATAATATTCCGACTTTTCGGCTGATTTATTTTACGCGCACTCCCTTACGAAACGGCCTGTTGTAATTTTTCATTGGGCTATTATGCCTCAATGTTCCCACTAATCCCGAAACTTTTTAAGAATCGGCAGAAATATTCATACAAGGCCCAATGGTTTATTTTTCTTTTGCCTCTAAAGGGGATGCAACAATCAATAAGGGTAGAAAAGGGTATAACAGAGCGATCGTTGTTTACAATAGTGTCCTAGAGACTTGCTGTGCTGTTTCATATCACTATATAGTATAAAACAAAGTCGCTTCCCGCTCTCTGTCCCTATGTATGCTAAGATCTTTAAAACTACGTAACGGATTTTGATGCTGTTTTTTTTTAATGGATAGAGTGATTCAAGAGGAAGGTTTATATCTATAATACATGCATAATATAGTAGAGAAACACTCATAATTTTAGAGGTTTCCAATGTGATGTCGTAAAACACATTTTTTTGCGCTTACATTGCAAACGCTGGCTGAACCCTACGAATCAAAATAATGTACTACAATATTGTACACCTTAAAAAGATCTACAAAAAAGTCGGGGATGGAATATGTCTATCTCTTAGGGATAACCCACAATAACAATTTTTATTCTTTACTTTTTATGAGAAATAATGACTATTTACGAAGCGATTGTGGGCAATACAGCATTAATTCTTATCCAATTAAGTACCTTAAATACATTGTGCATTAATATAGATCAATATGGCCCTTTACAGCATGTATTTAAATGAATATTTTCGAAGATATTACAGATTTAAAATACAGGGACATAGCGGTTGCGGTGGTACCGACCGGGAGGCCGGTTTGTATTGTCTAATGACAAAAAAACTGTGCATGTTGTATATAAAGACGTTCTGTAGTATATTTAATGTGTTCAGGGGTTGTCTATTTAAGATTTCCTCTCTCGATAATAATTTAAACAAAACAAAAATATATTTAGTATCAGCATTGCACCCGTGCGAAGCTAGTATAATATAAAAGCGTTTTTTTGACTATCATCGAAATCAAATTATTGATTTAGTAATTTTCCTGTCACATCATTATCTACGATGACTAACTTGAGGTCAATGCGCCTGCCGATATAAGAAAAGATTATTGTAATGAATCCAAAAATGGAAATCAAACATTTTTTAAATAAGTTTACATTTCAAAGTTAGCTGTAAAAATACGTGACCATACTTACAGACAAAACGCGCATCGTTAAACGTAGCAAAGCCTCTGATGATCTTCAAGCGATTTTTTGAGCCTATTGTTGTTCCATAATATGTACCTACCTTACAGTAACTTACACACCATTACGTCCTTTTATAAATGTTACATAGCATACAGCATTTTACGAATATAAAAAGAAATTAATGGCAACTTTATAAAAGCAAGTGGGTAGATATAAAATGTCTTTGTAAAATGTGTTAAAAAGTATCCATCATCATTAAGTAATTACATAAGTTTAATAACCCAAGTTTGTTGCTTAAAAACTATTTATTTTAGACTTCTTGGAGGGCTCTGTAGTCCAGAGGGACAACTTTTGATGTAGTTTTCTGGAAATATAAAAGGCAATATGATTTTCGATCAATTTTAGGGCCTGTACATTATCAGCGAAGTTTCCCAATGGTGCAGACACACACTATTAACATCTTCTTCCAAATAAATAATCTTTTCCCATGTTAATCTTATGGAATCTCATAAGATTCAGTGGAGCACAGTTCTGATTTATTGTCAGTCACCCGACTAGAATTTATAGGGGGCATGCCTCATGTAGTGTGCGGGACTCATGTGGCTAATGAGGGGCATGCTGATAGAGGGATTTTCCCGAAATAGATTCCTCGTGAAAATCCCACCAAAAAAGGTGGTGATACTAAAATGAGGATTGCCTTATGGGTTTTTCATAGGGGTCTTAACGGGCAAACCTATCATATGTGTAAACTTACAATTAAATCTACCTTATAGGGGCTGGATGAGGCAAGTCCGTTTGAAAATACTCTCGGTGAAATGATAAAAACTTATAATAATCCATCCCTTTGTGCAATTATGTCGTCGTTTCAATGAAATCTTTTACATTGCAACGGACCAACAAGTGTACTTCCTGATATACGCAACAGGTCGAATTGTTGTAAAACAATTGCAATTTAAGGTATTATTGACTACAAAACAGCCCAGTAACACAATATTACTTAAGAGCAAATAAATTTTACAAATAAGTGATGTATGTATTATATTATTTTTAATTAATTAATTTTTCTAAAAATGTTAAATGGGGTAGCAATAATTTTTCCCTGCGGGGGTTACATACAGCATTCCTGATGATGCACAAATACGGCAAAGCGTTGTATACCCCTTCTTTGCCCCAGGGGAACCTCATGAGACCCGCAAGAGGTAGTGTGGCAACCCACTTAGGGACATATTTATACAATAATTTAGTAAGTTACGTAAGTTCTCCTTGTATCTAATCTGCCATTATTCTACTAGAATATATTATATTTCCCATAACGTTTTTGATTAGGTGGACGTTCGTGCGTGAAATTTTTATCGCAGAAATTGTATTTTAAATGGGGAGCATCTAACGGTATTCATCAAAAGTGCAAGCAGATGCGCCCTGGTCGTGGCATTAGAGATCAAAAACGAAGAAGCCGTGTAGGTAATGTTGCTAGAACACGTGCTACGTGATGTGGAAGTCAACGATGGTTCACTTGGAATTTATATCGCTCGCGGTTTCTGCTGAAATCGTGGAATGTTGGGACCGAGCAATAAACATCTGTCAAACAGATATCCACCACATATTGTAATTATTGTATTCTATAAGAATAATGTATCTTTTGTAACAGTGAATATGATGAAGGTTTCACGGAGAAAACTAAATTTTTATTACAACACAAAAATTCAAGTTTCTTAATTATTACAATTGTAATATTAACTAAATTACCTAGTAAATTTTTTTTCTGCTGGGATTTTGTTTTTACAAATTCGGGTCCCAATTGGTAATTTTTATTATTTTCGCTTACTAAGCAACGGGCTAGTGGGAAAAATTGTAAATATCGCTTTAATATTTAGGTAAATTTTCGTTTTCCATTTTCTCCGTGTATTTGAGGTATTCCATTAAGAAGGAGATATAGGACAACTGACTATCAAAATAATAAGTGAATCTTTAAAAATTTACTTTTATCAATTTGCTGACTATTGGTATTTGATTTTGAAACATGACCATGGCCCATCCACTGAGCACCCTTCGATCCTTTATTCATTTTCAATTGCTTGTGACTAATTACCCTTTAATTTCCTGGGACTGCTTTTCCATAAGTTCTTTGGATTTTACTTTTAAGCAACTGTATCTATTGCTTTAGTTATGTAGTTTGTTTGCAATTATTTTGTATAGAGAAAAAGCTCGGCATTTATTTGAACGACATTGCTTTTGATGCAAGAAAAAACAACCTACTCTGGTTTTGTAGTGTCTGAAAATGATGCTATAAGTACTTTAGTACAAATTTTGCTCTTTAAAAAAGTAAACATTTGAACTATTCTGTCGTTTCCTTGCATGGTATCAGTTTTGCAAGATGCCAAAAGTAATGAAACCAATAACCTGGTCATCTTTTTTTGTTCTGTTCGATGTTAGGTTCATAGTAACGTAATAATACTGATAATAAAGTGAAACGGTTGGCTGGTGTGACATTACCGGTAGCTATGAAAAAGGACTAAAACAATATCCACAGAAGTGGTAAGAGCAGCACCTTGACGGTATGGTGCGGTTGGTTGGAAGGCATGAGCGGTTTAACTTTAGCCATTAGGATAATGGAAGTTGAGAGGCACCGAAGGCAAACCGATAATTAGGCAACAAACCGAGGACGGCCGCCAACCGAATTACTTACTCTACTTAACCGCTTAATCCCGTCGACCGTACGTCCATCCCTGCGATTCCCCTATATACTGTCCGTGCGACAGGGCGCAGCGCGGCTTGGCGGCTTTTCCTATCCTACGGGCACGTCCCATGTCAATCTGTATCGGAATCTCTGCGCTCGGGATTTATCTTTTATTGTCCAGGTCCCGACTGGAACGGATTAATAACGAATAGCCCAGTCTAATTGACTGCCTGATGGCAGTGTAAATAAGGAATAAACGAAAAACGCTTTTAAGCTAATACATTCCAGGTGGCGGTAGTGATGATGGAGACGGTTTATCTATTATACCGTAAATAACCTGAACGAACACTCCTCTCACTATTTTCTAATTGAACATTTAGACAATCTTTTCCTGAAAACAAACAACTTTTATATAAATTACAATTAAGTCTTTTAAAAACGATAAAAATAAGGGAAAATGTCAATACTGGGTATATTTTTTTAAACTGCATCTGCCAGAATCAATAAATAATTAATTAAGAGCTTAAAATATTTATAGATACCTACATCATCATCATAAGGTCGCCAATCCTAAGACTGGATTGACAAGAACCTTATTTTTTTCCTATCCTGAGCTAATCTTCGCATTTGCCTGAATCTAGGTCTACTTCTACTTCTCTCAGGTCCTTTAACTAACCCTTCACGCCTGAGAAGATGTCTTACCAATCTACCTCGCCTATTTCTTATTAAGTTCTATAGAGCCCCCTGTTCTCCTACTTTTTTCATTATATTTGAGACTAACTAAATGGATTTGAAGAACCCGATTAAACAAGCACACTTTTTAATCCCATTTACTTGTGTAAATAAACATTAATTTATTTTGTTTTTATATTAAATTAATGTTTTATTTTTGTTTAAGGAAATGGATGTCTTCTGCTGAGGATGTTTGAGCGAGAACGAGTTCGTTATGGGTGAGTCATGAATTTGTAATTCTCCATTTGCTTTTATTTTCAACTGTATTTTTCTTTCGACGATGCTTTTAAAATGTACGCTTATAACCTTAGGAAAATTTCTAGTAATTTAAATCCGAGTATTTTTTTTTAAAAATGCATAGATTTCAGTACCCATGCAACTTTGGTTTCTCTGAAAGCTTTTTATGCTGTAGGTTAAAATATCACATATTGTAAGAATTAAAATAAACAAACATCTAATACTTACAAAAAAATAATAAAAATAGTTATTTCAAGATTTATTAGGAGAGCAAAATATTGGTTTGTCGATCATAATTGTAGATGTTAATGTTTTTATAGTGAATATCGCAATTAAAAATATTAAAATTAAGTTAAAGTGTATTTTTACCCAAGCGTTCGTATTGGTCAGAAAAGCCAGCTTGACTTTGATACTTTGTAATTAAAATTAAGGCTCTTGCTGAACAAAAATGTTTTACATCTTGACCTTTCCTTTGTTCTTTTTAATTCAATGATTTAAAAGCTGGGCAATCAAAAAGTTGTGATAAGCATGCAATATCTATATGGAAAAGTAATTTCTTGTTTAATTTCCCTAATATTTAAACTGTTTAGGTAGGTTTGTGAAAAGAATAAAAGAAAATCGCAAATGTGTATACCGTTGAATTAGTTAGGTTTACAAATTAAATAGAATCGCGAGTGTTCTTGGCGTCGAAAGATATTATTCCGCCAAGTCGAACGTTCTTAAAGAACGTCTGAGGGCGTCTAGAGTCGGTAGCGGCGCGCCGTTGCAAAATAATGGGGGTACTTTTCCCTCTGGATTTGCAGTCGCTCTTACGAGGAACGGCCCCGTGATTTGGGTCCGACTTATACGGGAATCATTTCCTGCATTAAACCGCGTCATTCTTTTCTCTCTGCTCTGTTCTCTTAGTTTGCATTCCACGACGGAAAATACGTACTTTGCGACCGAAGGAAGTAATAGCTCCAGCACGGCCGCCAACCGACTCAACGCGAACACCAGAGCTTCGATGAAATTTTTCGCGAAAGCTCCCACTGACGCGCGCTTGTCTTTTATTTATATTCTAAAAGGCTATTACAGTAGCTGTCCATGTTGATCCCTGGTTTACGTTGTCTGCACTGAAACCTCTTTGGGAAAGAAATATAAATTAGGGCAATTTTTAATTATCGTCTTCTTTGTTTGGTTATTTTTCTCGTTTAAACGTCACTTCCATCTCTGAAAGTAGACGCTCCGAAATATTTTCGCCGATTACTTTTTGGACCGAGTTATTTAAAAATCAGCATTAATTTGTGGCGGGGTTGTATGATAAAGGTAATATCATAAAATTAATTAGCACCTTTCTATAAAACAGTTGAACTAATTTTTCGGTTTATGTATGAATGTAATTAATTTCAAGAAAATAGTTTTAAGCCTATCGTTCGATAACAATGTCCAGTTTTCGGAAAAAATCGGGAAAGTTTTCATGAAATTTTATCAATAAGTAATATTAGAAAGAGTGAAGCTCGATCAGAGCAAATTCATTATTAGATAGGACTTTTTAGACCAAAAACCGATTTAAAAAAGGATAAATAAGCTATAACTAGCTGAAAAAAGTGATAATTATGTAACGTTAGTTATTGATTCCATTTTTTCTACCTTATTTATTGTGCCACTTCTGCACTCCCGAACGGTTAATTTAGAAATTTCAAAAAGATTGTTAACGTGGATGCGGTGGAAAAGAAACGGCTAAAAGCGTTTGAAATGTGCTGTTATAGGCGAACGATAAGGATAGATGTTAGAAATGAGGAAGTACTAGAAAGAGTAGGAAAACACAGGGCACTCATCATCATAAGGTCGTCAGTCCTAAGACCGGTTGGACACGCATCTCCATTCTTTCCTATCCTGAGCTAATCTTTGCATTTCCCTAAAACCAGAACATCCCACATCTTTAACTATTTGCCAACACTAATCTAATCTAGGTCTACCTCTACCACTCCTAACTTCCATTTCTGCTTCTAATATGTCTCTGACTAGACCTTCATGCTTGAGAAGGTGTCCTACCAACCTATCTCGCCTATTTCTCATTGGCTTTTAATAGAGTCCTCGGTTCCCCTATTCTTTCTAATATCTCTTCATTTTTAACCTTCTCTATCCACGATATCTTCATCATTCACCTGTAACAGCATATTTCGAACAATTCTAACCTTTTATTTTCTGCCGCGTCCACCGTCAATGTTTTGCACCCGTACAGCGCCGCACTCCAAACAACACCCTTTTGAATTTCTACATTAACCGTTAGCGAGTATAGAAGTGACTTCTTTTTATTGAAGGCGACTCGATCCTGCTCTATCATATGCTTTATATCCTTACTAGTCCTTCCGTCCTGACTTATCTGACTTTCTAGTTAGGTATCTAGGAATCTAGGTGCTATTACAACATTTCCAAATGTTCTATGCGTTTTGAAAAGCCAAAGCCCAAAATAAAAATTAATGAAGAGCGATTCATTTTTATTCTGATATTTCGTCTAAAATCAGCAGTTTTCCGGAAAGCCGTTTGGGCCTTTCATCCACTTTTAACTGCATTAAGTTTTAAAAGATAAAGCGCTCCGTTAAATGCAGAATTAGCCGGCTTACAAAAGCTAGACCGCAATAACGAGGTGCGGAAATATATACATACAATTTCCCTCTTTGCGGTGGCGCGTGCATAAATTATAAATTCCGAGAGAACGGAGAACTTAATAAAGATTTCATAATCCACCGCCTAACGATTTAATTTATTATTCGAGGATTCGAGAAGTACTGGTGCCAGTAAATAAAATACGAATTCCGGTGAGCAGCTGTTGCAACAACTCTCAATGTGTAGTATTACGTATCAAGAGGCAGACGAGAGGTGCCACCTTCCACATTATTATTCGCACCCTATAGGTACATATCTATAAATTTACAGGGTGTCTCATTTGATTTTAATTAAATTATAGCGGATTAGGCACTTATTAGCAAGGAAATCTTTGATCGTTTTTCTTAAAACTTTGCATACGTTTAGTTTATAACAGCGTAAACAATGGGTATTATAGAGACTACTAACCGTCAGTTTTTTTTAAAGGAATTTGGACACAAAATTATAATTAATATTCTAAGGACAAAAGAGAAGGCTTCATATTATTTTTCTTTAGCTTACGTAATTATCCCACACAGTTTTAGAAAAATAGAAACCACTGTCAGCAACACGGTTTCAGTATAACTATTGCTACGTGAATCTCCTTGCATTCCATTCACATCACAGTCAGGTAGTCAGTCCTAAGACTGGTTGGATACACACCTCCACTTATTCCTATCCTGAGTTAGTATTCGCATTTCCCTAAAACTAGAACATCCCACGTCCTTGACCATTTGCAAACAGTAATCTAGTGTAGGTCTACCTCTACTCCTATTAACTCCTGTTTCTGCCTCTACTATGTTTCTGACTAGACCTTCATATCTGAGAGGGAGCCCTACCAACATATCTCGCCTATTTTTTATTGACTTGCATTCACTAATTCCTATTATATCTAATTCTAATCTATTCATCTCAACTTTCAAATTCTCTAATTTCCCTACTTCCTCATTTTTCTAACATTCCACGCTCCGATTCGTGAAATATTCCACCTTCCCCTATTTCTCTTATTGATGACATCCCTCGACATAGTCCCCATCCGAACATCCGAGTAGAGGACTTGTTTACGTCCGGAATGCTTTGCCCCAGAGGATGCCATCATTCTAGTTTGGTGTGTTTTTCTTGGGATATCATAATGTGGTGGTTTCCCGTTGCGTTCCACATCGCAGTATTGTGAACCATAGTGCTACACCGACCTTCTTTATCTCTGACACTGAAGGAGTTCCTGCCCTCTTTTGTGGAATTGCGTTAGTCTGGTTTCTCTTTAAAAACCCTCCTGTTATGGTTGAACCTATGGTTCGGCACCCTAAATCATCGAAACTCGCAAGCCGATCGACCCACTCTAGTTTGTACAACGTTCAAGTCCAGTCGGATTGTCTTTCTCTGATAATCTTGCAAGCAACATAGGGAAGGAGAAAAATAGTTTTCGTTATAGATTTGGTGAAATGAACACTTTTTGCCACATAATTTGATGTAACAGTAGAAACCTTTCCACTATTCTATATATACGATCGTCTTGTTACAGCTACAGTGGGCAGAACTTTGCGTGCCCCACGTTTAACACTTATTAAAAGTAAAAAAAGTAGGGTACACACATCATAGTTTACCCTGTCCCTGGCCCGCTGACAAATAGAAAAAGAGTTCGCTTTAAAAAACAAAATGTTTTAGTGCTACCTGGAATTTGAACAATTAATTGTTTTAGCGAAATATTAAAGTTATGGTTTGACAAAGTAGACATGATAGTAACGTCAGTTGTTCCCATCTGAAATTATGGGAAGGTAGAAAAAAACTACAGCTAACAATTTAATGTCTAATGCCTCTCTAGAAAATATTAAGCAAAGGAATATTATGAAATCTTACTTTTTGTGTAGATCTGTAGTCGAGTCGTACAAAGCATAACGTTATCTTCAAGATAATAAAACAACTGTTGTATAAAAAAGAGGTGCAGGAATTTAAAATGTATGAAGTCCGCCCTTCCAGCGAGGGTTTTTTCTCGCATTCTTCCTGTTAGTGTGGATATATTTAAAGACATATACCGAATTGGTCAACGTCAAGACGTTAAATTAAAATCATAAAGAACGCAAAGAAATATAAAGTAACGTGGCATCAGTCGCTGTTCCGAATTTGAATTTCTCTCATCAGAGGCCTAACATCAAGGTCATATATTCAGCGTGCGACAGCCGTCATATTTTTTCGTGTCAAAATGCGTGTGCTTCGTCGACTGGAATGACGCAAGGATTCCATTTGTTCCAGAGCGACGCGTCCTGTCTCCTCCTTCTCCTCTGTGCCTAAAACGGAGCGCTCCCTTCACCTATCTACTGCCTAAATACACTATTATATAGCACCTAGCACTGAG